AGCGCTGATAAAACGGCAATTGTCACAGCAAAAAGAGCTCCTCGAGCGAATGAGTGCGAATAGCTCGCAGTTTTCCGTAGCAGAGAAGCGCGATCTTTTGAGTAAGATTACCGCCTTATCGGGTGAATTAAAGGCTCTGACTCCTCGTGCCTCGGCTGCCTCTCCAAGCTCGGCCTTACACACTGAAACAGATGAAAATGGCGAGGACTTGAGTGGTCTAAAGGCTGAATTGAGTGCTTTAGAGGCTGAAGCTGGCGGTCGAGGACGTGGTGGTCGGTGGTCTTCAGGACGTGGGTACAGAGGAGGCCGTGGAAGCCGTGGACGTGGGGGATTCGGTCGAGGCTCCCATGCACTCGACAATCGCACTACAATTATTAAAGTAGCGAATCTGCCTGAGGAAGCCTGTGATTCTGTGGTGCTCACACAGCATTTTGGTAACTTTGGCGTCGTAGAGCGAGTCGTTATGGATGATTCAGCACCTGGCCAAAGTTATATCAAATTTCAGGACCGATATGCCGGACAGGCAGCACTGATACATGGTAATGTGTTTGGTGACAAACAGCTAGAGATGACGTGGGTTGAGTCGCAGGAAGCACCAGCTGTACTGAATTCTCCGAAAGCAGTAGCATCTGCTGATGCTGGTGAATCTAGTTCTAATGTAAGGCTTGCTATACGAGACTAACTATATGAAATATTTGACTAATTGCTGTATTTGCACAGGCTCATACAAGCGCGTAGGATTCGGCTGGTGATCTATTGCTATTGTTACAAGCACAGCAAAGCCCTGTCCTTAGTACATCATGACACAGCATCGGCAACCAAGCTATGATATAGGATGCCTGCAATTGACTAAATTACAGGAAATTAAGTCGAAAATTATATTCTTACCCCATGTTCCCAGAATCTAAAGGAAAATTTGTGGTACATATCAAACGTGCAAAAACATCTGAACATGTTTTATATCTCTTCCAAGTGCACTTTTATTAACTAATACAATTGGACCCAAGGTATCATGGAGATATTTTTTCAAATGATTGCAATTGCTACTGGTGACGCGCAGTTGGAATCGCAAACGAGTCATGTCACGAGATATCTTCCCGCTGAATTTCAAGTGTGGGTCCTGAAGGCAACCCTTAAGCTTCGGTCTATATATTAAGTATTGTGTCAAATACGTAGAACTTTTGGAGTCTTGTTAGCTGTGAATGCTACAAATATCTACCACTCTTTGCGCTCCCTGTACAAATATCTACCACTCTTTGCGCTCCCTGAATCGTCCTTCATCAAAAGTTCACGACAGTGTCGATACGCGAAGTTCACCTTTTAGTTCTAATACTAGCTTTCGCACTGTCTTTATGAGCGCGTTCCACGACTGATATCTATATCTTCCATTTCGCGTCTTCTCTACCAGCTCTTATAAGCGATCAATCTTAGTAATAAGATCGCACGCCCCATTTAAGCAAATTTTGAGATTACAAAGGATTTCATTTTGCTCATGCCTTCAAGGGAAGCGATCCTGACAAAAATGCGGGTGCTGATAACCGGTGCATATTTTGCATTCTTAACGTAGAAGCTAATCTAAAAATATTATGAACATTCCAATTGCTCCAAAAGTTACAACGGGGTTCCAGTGCGCTCGCTCCGAGGGTTAGTTCGTCCGCATCATCCGAAGTATGGCCTGATAGCAAGTGTTGGTCTCGATCCAACGACCTTTGGGTTATAAGCCCATCAAAGTGCTGCAATTTCTATTTTACTACCCACACATATAAAAATTGATAAAGGAACAAGTAGATCGAGTTCAAGGTGAATTCGATCTATACACTGACCTTTAACCCACAACTGTACAAAGCAGGGGGACCCGGCACCTTTAAGGCCGACTGCCAGCATAAACAAGTGTATACTTAGCTCCTACAGTGTCCTGTATACTAGAATACGTCATTTGGGTGCTTGTTCTAAGTGCAGAGCATACGAAGATTAAGGCTTATGTCAAAAGGCCAGTCTTCTATCCAATAAGCTTTATTGATGTTGCAGCGGGGCTGCCGTAGCTTTGCGCTTAAGGAAGCGTCTTTAGGTCACCAACTTTTCGTTCTTTACAAGAACCAAGTACTAGCGCAGCGGATCGCAATTCGCTGCCTCTAAAAGTACTTAAAAGCCTTAACCAAGGCAAACGAACACTTCTGTTCAGAATCGAGACTGATTTTTATTTATCTTTTTTTATCTAATTTTAAAAGTTTAGATTTTCCTAAATATACTAAATATATAGTAACATCTAAATACATGCATAACTACTGGCTACCTAGCCCCGTACCGTATTCTTGTTTGGGT